ACTGATAAAGGCACTCCATATGGGATGGTATAATTCAAGCCACACAGAGAAAGGTAGCAAGTATGGTACAGGCAGTCCAGGGGTATATTGATGTACAGGAAAGAAATATTCAAATCTGTTTACATTTATTCTTATCTTTTCCATTTTTATTTCCTATTTTTATATATGTTTAATAATAGCACTATACACATACGCAGTTTACATGTACATGTACATATATGTAGTATACATGAATATACACATAATGGGCATATGCGCTCAGATAATTTTCTAATAGGGATGTGTAATGAAAACCTTTGGAGACAAGAAGACACTGTGGTAATTGGGGTATTTCTAAATAGGGTGTGGTCCTTAATCTTCACCCCCATCAGAATTCCCTGTGGAATGTGTTAAACATACAGATTCTATGACCCATCTCATACCTACAGAACCTGAATGTCCCGGGTGGGGCTCTAGGGTTCTGTGTGCTTAAAGAGCTTCCTAGTAATTCTGACTCTTACTAAAGTTTGGGAATCACTATAGCAGAAGAATTAAAGAAGCAGACATAAAGCAGCTGAACTATGAAAAGGGCAGAGTGAGTACGGATGGGAACACTAGAAGCCCATTTCTGAGAGGAAGACAGGTAACTGGCCATTAAAACTCCAGCTGGGGTCCAACCAAGAAAGAGGGGCCATCCTCCCTGTTCTTCCAGAACTCCGGCTCTATGCATATTGAGGTGGTGTCCATAATTTCCCAACTAGTCTTCCATTAAACCTTCATTGCCTAAAGAAACGGGCATTTCCTCTTCTGACAGTTGAGGAGCAGGGATGGGGAAACTTAGAAATTGTCTTGGTCAGCTCATGCTACTATAACAAAATATCATAGACCAGGTGACTTAAACCACAGAAATTTATTTCTTACAGTTCTGGAGGCTGGAAATCTGAGATCAGGGTGCCAACATGGTTGAGTTCTGGTGAGGTCTCTCTTCATGGTGGACAGAGATCATCTCCCACATGTCTCTTCTTATAAGGGTACTAATTCCATCATCAGGGCCCTTCCTCATGACCTAATTACCTCTTAAAGGTCCCATCCCCCAATACCATCACAATGGGAAGAAGCCTTCAACATATGAATTTTCGGGCACACAAGTACTCAGTCCATAGCGGAAACCAACAGCCCCTCACACAGAGAGAACACGTAATCCAGGGGAATTGAATAGACAGCTGACATAATTTTAATAATCATGTGCCTTAAGGAGTAAGGATGAGATTGGAGGAAGAGGGTATACTTGTATGAGCCAGAGTTGCCTGCAAGCATTTGAAAAAGGTCCTGTATGGATTAAACATTTAATCTAAAATCAATAAGGGGATTTCTAAAAAGTATACCAAGTAAAAAGGGGATATAGAGTAGAAGCTAATATGATGTGACCTTGGGCAATTCACTGATTTCTCTGTTCTTTAAATGATATCTAAGTTTCTTTCTGTGTTTCTAGAACCCAAATTTGGGCTCAATTCCTACTTTAAGGTTCCTTTCACTATACCATACTGGTCAAGAATAAATTAAAACTCTGGCCCTTTAAACTAAAAAATTCAGAAAAGACTCCTACCTCTTTAGGAATTAAATATTAAATGGATCTTTATAAAGAGCAAATCTCTGGTTTTTTCAACCCTACCTCCTCCCCAAATAGGGGCTTTCCTGTATGGGGCCTTGACCCGAATGAAAACCCAGAGGTTAACTGACTGCTTTCTACCTTGTGCAATGAGACTGCATTATTACTGGAATGTAAACATCTTATCTAATCAAAGTGACATCTTATTTTGACTTACTGTTGCCTTACTTTTCTTTCAGGGTCATCCTCTATTTCTCATTTCTCCTATCAGGAGGGGAGGTTGGTGGGTTACTAGGCATTCAGCATGGAATGAAACCTGCTAATTGTCACCACCCCTGGGACAGAGACATCACCTGACATAACACTTTCTGCACTTCACTGGGACAAGCTCTGTTGAACCAGGCTTGAGTGAAGCAACATCATGTAATGTACCCAATATAGTGTAGCTAATGTCAAAAGAGAAAAGTGGGAAATGTCTCCTGAAATCTGCAGCAGGTTCATGAAAAATTCCAAGGAGAACAAAAGTGACAAATCCCTGCAGTATGCCACATTTTTATTTCCTGAAGATGAAAAGTGCCACAGTATGATATTCATCTTTGGGGAGACTGAACAAAACGTCTTCTGAGTCACCAGTTTAAAGAGACTATGTTTTAAAAATATAAACTTGATCCTATGAGTTATATTACAGATTGAACTTCCTTTGTAGTTGTCCTGGAACCTAAATTACATTAAAAAATTTTAAAGTATTTCTAACACTTTTATTCCATTGCCTAAAATAACTGCTGCTAATAATGGATTAGGCCAGTATTACAAAACTCATCTTCTGTATATGTGAAAGCAGAGGTAAAATAAGACCCAGCTTGGTTATGAGGCAGCAGGACCTAGAGGTTAGTGGTTTAGGTTCTAGCGTCAGACAGTTGGCTTCAAATTCTGGCTTTACCATTCGGTTACTATGTGACCCCATGTAACATACTTAACCATTCTAAGCCTCAGTTTCCACATCTGCAAAATGGGAATACCCATAGTATTTACTTGAGACCATTGTGAGCATGCCAGATAATGTATACAAAGCATTTAGGACAGTGTGTGGCATTTAAGTAAACACTCAACAACTATTAGTGATTACTATTCTAATGACAATTTCTATTAATGGCTGGGAGTTAAATACTTAAAAGTTGAAACTAGTTACCTCTCTTCAAATATGCTAAAATAACAACTATGACAGTTAGAATATTATTTAAAAATATAGTATGCACAGGTATTGGGCAGCCAACTGTTCTGTCTGGTAAACATTTACCAACATGCAAATTATGCACCAGCTCTTTCCATTTCCAAGTGTGACACTAGGATGACAACAGAGAAATGAAATATAGTATTATGCTGTATGGTGTATACCACTTGGCTGTGGATCTAACTTCTTTCTTACTCATTTGAATCCTTATGGTTTTTTAGATTCAGGTTCATTTCTTCGTGCCTCCAGGCTACAGGCCATGTTAATTTGCAAAGCAGACGAGAAGCCTGTCCTTCACACTGACAAAGTATGAGCCAATTCTCAGGCTCATACTTCAGTCTGTGCCTTACCACATCCCCCTTGTGGTCACGGCGAGTATTTGCGAGGCACCTGAAAAACCACCAGGAATGTCGATCAAATATATATACCCTTTATATAACACCATCTGTTTCCTGGATTGTTTTGATTAACACTTTGTGGCTTTCCTAATGTAAGGAGCAAGAAGAGAAGCAAATTCTTAAGAGAACCAATTGAGAACAGGGAAGTGAGGAGTATGCAGTTATCTCCATTACCTTCCCCTGCCCTCCTCCCACCCTGTCATATATAACGAGGACGTAAAGTCTACACTTTCTATTTTGGTTCAATGTTTAATATCATTTGTCACACCTCTCCATGATCTTTTGCATCACTGTATTGTATTAGAATATAAATCTCTACAAATAGGAGTCATGAGCCTCTAACTCCGCTCGGGAAAGCCTACCTCTGAGGGAATTATAAAACAAGAAAAATGAGCGTTAGTTAAGCTAGTGAAGATGATAGTAGCCAACAGTTAAGGAAGAGTGTGTGGGAAGCTTTTTTTTTTTTTAAACTTTCAGAATCTGTATAATACATAACCACTGTTATATTTGACTTTCCTGTTTATCTTCTTACTCCCACTTCCAGCCCCCTCAGAATGTAAACTCTTCAGTTATCTTCTTTCCCTCCCAAACTTCCTGCAACATTCCTTTCACAATTTCTCATACCGTGGTGCTCACTTAATACTGATTTTCCTGAAGAAAGAGGTAGGGGTCTGAAGCATTTTTCACTTTTGAAAGAGCACTTCGAGGACAAAATTTCTTCGTCTCCAAAATCAAGTTTAATCCCGTTGTCATCTCATTAGCGAGTTCATGTTTTGCCTTCACTGTTTTCTCACCACCTATAAGAGTGTTTGACACACGGTGTGCTTCCAGTACCTATTTTTTGAATCAGTGAATTCCTTTTCCTCAAAAATCTGAAACTGGTCACAGTGCAGAGTAGTAATTGACGTCTTGTAACCAACAGAAGGTTTGAAACCGGCCAAAGGGACTTCCGTCAGGCCCAGCACAGCGGGGTGGGGAAGAGCCTGATTTTGGATAGTTTCTCCGTTGGCGGTTTGTACAATAATTAGCGTAACGTGACACAATATGTGAACGAAACGCTGCTTTAGTAAAACAAGACCGTTGTGATAAAACGCAGCGCAAATCTGTCTGAGGTCTGCATATCCTGCTGTGTTTCAAGTTGCGAACAAAGGGCGGAACACAGCAACAAAGGTTTCGATATCCAGGCTTAACAAAGCCCCAGGACAAGATGGCGCCCTCCGCAAGGAGCAGGAGCGAGAGCGCGAAATAAGTCCACGCGCGCGGCGGACTATGCACGCGCCAGGCTCGCTCTGACACCCGTTAGACCCAAATTCGCAAACGCTCATACCGCGCTCGTACAGAGCCAATGAGCACTGTAGTTAGTTCCCACCCACGTTTTCCGCCACTCCCTAGGAACACGCACTGCAGGCCCTAGCCGGATGCCAGTTGCGCAGGTGCAACAGGCTCCTCCTCCCGCGCAACTGACGCAAGGAGACTGCAATCAGTTCTCAATTTATCCCGTGTGACCTTGAGTTTTTCCTTCCTGCGAGGACCGGGGCTGTCTGAAGTGCTGCCTTCATATCCCTCTTTCTTCGGTCGACTCTCTTAGAGCCGAGAGCCACCGCATCTGAAATGGGAGATCAGGCTTTTTTCAACCATCGCATTGCCGCGGACATTATGGGTACTCCCTGACTCCGGGAGCCGCAATCAGATATTCTCTAGTCAGGCGGCGCGGGCAGCGCCTCAGCGGAAGAGCGGGCCTCTGGGTCGCAGTGACCAACCTCCGCCCCCCACCCCACGTGGTTGGAGGGTTCCAGAAGCGCTGTCGCCACGGTACCGCGCCGCTCCGGGTCGCTCGAGCTCTTGATTGCTGCGTTATACTCCGTCGGTGTATCCGCCATGATAAGCGCCAGCCGAGTCGCGGCAGCCCGTCTCGTGGGCACAGCAGCCCCCCGGGCTCCCACGGCCGTCCGCCACCAGGTAAGGAACCGCTGGGCCTTCCCTGAGGGGCTCACGGCCTCGCGGCAGGCCGCGCCCTTTGGGGTCAGAATTTTCTAGATGAGATCATGATGGAAGGAAGGTAGGTAATGGGCCTTCCGTAATTAGTGATGCTGGTTCAAGTCCTTGTTCAGCGTTTTGCCTCTGTGCCTTGGGCCCTGCTGAGTCACATCCCTCGCGATCTAGAGTTTCATCTCACGAATTATCAGGTAGTGGTCCTGGCAGTCCGTTCTGTGGCTGGTTGGACAGGTTTGGCCTTGGGGGCGAAGGATGCGGTGTCTTGGGAGGGAGCCGCTATTAAAGGTTTTATTTTCGCCCGAGAGCTGAAGGACGAGTGCTCTTCTCTGTAAAATACAGTGTGTGGAAGGACTCTTTTGGTACGATGAAATAAAGGAAGGGAAGCACCTAAACAGTAAATCGAAAATCCAACTCCGATTTTCTTGCTTAGGAACGCTTTGTCAAAATCTTCGGTGTAAAATTGTATGCGTTTGTTACTTCAGAAAAAAATAAGCAGATGAGGGGAAAAGGGCATGAAGTGGTTGCTTGTTGTCATCTAAAAAAAAAAGTCAAAAACAATTGCTAGGCCCGGCCCGTGGCTCACTTGGGAGAGTGTGGTGCTGATAACACCAAGGCCACGGGTTCGGATCCCATATAGGGAAGGCTGGTTTGCTCACTGGGTGAGTGTGGTGCTGACAACACCAAGTCAAGGGTTAAGATCCTGGGGCCGGCCCGTGGCTCACTTGGGAGAGTGTGGTGCTGATAACACCAAGGCCACGGGTTCGGATCCCTATATAAGGATAGCCTGTTAGCTCACTTGGGAGAGCGTGATGCTGACAACACTATGTCAAGGGTTGAGATCCCCTTACTGGTCATCTTTTTTGAAAAATAAATAAACTAACTAAAGACATACATCTTTGTACAATAGGAGTCCTCACGTGTGGACTTTAAGGAAGGCTTGGAAATATCTTGACGTTATACTGTAACAAAGATCTTTTACCCTGATGGAAGACCACTACTTGAATTTTTTATTTTTTTATTTTTAATGATTCCACAAGATTAGTAACCACACTTGGCAGCCTTAAACCAGTTGGGTCAGGAGAAGTGTATCTGAGTAACTTAAATCTGTGCTTGCGGTACACATGTATTTAGGCAGAGTTGTACTGCTGACAGTGAAATGAGTAGAATCTGAGTAGTGTCAATAGTTCTCAACCAGCAGCAGTTTTGCCCCCAGGGGACATCTGGCAATGCCTAGAAATATTTTAGGTTATCATAACAACCGGGGTGCTTCCTGGCTTCTAGTGAGTAGAAGCCGAGTATCCTTCTAAACGTCCTATAATCAAGCCCCCCAAAACAAAGATTTGGCTCAAAATTAATAGTGTCAGTGTTGAGAAACCCTATTGTAACATAATTCAGAACAATTTTATGTTTGTTTATTTTTATTTTATTTGGAAATTTTCTACTATATTTATTAAATGTTTTCTGTTTTAGTACCATAATTCCTTTTTTATACTAAGCACTCATTCATCCCACTATACTTCATACATGGTGGCTACTCAGTAGAAGGAAAGTGTTATACTTTCATGTGTTCCTCTGAAGAATAATTGGAATATGTTCAAGTTGTCTTATGTAGTTCATAGTTGCTGCAATTTTTTTTTTTTTTTTTTAATTCTTTTTTCTGTTTAGGATGGCTGGAATGGCTTTAGTCATGAGGCTTTTAGAATTGTTTCGAGGCGGGATTATGCGTAAGTGTGACTTTTCCTTTGAGAGTATACTTACTAAGCCCCAGATCAGTGGTTTCTACATTTGTGATTAACTATTCCTCTATGTGATTACCGTTTGTATTTATTTATAGATTATGTAATGTGCCCCTGTCAATTCCCATTTGAATACTGTCATATATTTTCTCCTTTGGTCATTTTGGAGACTGCTGTTAAGATAACAATAATCATCACATTGTTTTAAATGTACTACAGATCAGAAGCAATCAAGGGAGCAGTTGTTGGGATCGATTTGGGTACTACCAACTCCTGTGTGGCAGTTATGGAAGGTAAACAAGCAAAGGTGAGCATGATTTGAAGCTCTGGGTCACTTAGAGGTAGCCGGTACCCAATCCAGAATTCTGTGCCCTTTGGCTTAGATAAGGGATTCTGAGACCTGATTTACGTTTTAAAAGCTGCTTTTGGTTTTTTCAGACTTGCGAGGTTAACCTTTGTGGTACTGATAATTGAATGGGTTTTACTTCCTAGGATAGAATATTAATATGTCTTTCTCATGTACAGGTAAGGCTACTAACTTATCATTAAAAGGAATTGGAACGGTTTGCACTGTTGATTACTCCTTGTATTCGTTTCTGTTGCTTATAACACAATACCTGGAACTGGGTAATTTATAAAGAAACAATATTTATTGATTACAGTTACAAAGGCTAGGAAGTCCAAAATCCAGGGAATACATCTGGTGAGGGTCTTCTTTGGTAGTGGCTTTACAGTAATGCAGGGGTCTCACATGGCAGAAAATGGTGGGACAGAGAGAGACTCACGGTGTTCTCCTTTTAAAGCCTTCCTAACCTCGACCCTGACCACCATTATTATTATGGCATGATCCTACTATCTAATCACCTCTTCAAGGCCCCACCTTTCAATTACCATAATAACATTTCCTATCCTCAACGGTTATAGTGAGAATTAAACTTCTAATATATGAACTTTGGGGGACAAAATTCAACCAATCCACAGCATTCTGCCCCTGGCCCCCAAAGTTCATGTTCTTCTCAAAGGTAAATATGTTCATTCCATCCCCAGAGTCTTAATTTGTTTCAACTCAAAAGTCCAAAGTTCAAATTCCTGTCTGTGAAATCAAAACAAGTTATCTCCTTCCAAGATACAATGGTGGGACAAGCACAGGGTCCTTATTCCTGACCAAAAAAGGGAAAATAGGCCAAAAGAATGGTAACAGGTCCCAAATAAGTCCGAAACCCAGCAGGACAGGCATTAAATCTTGAAGTTGGTGAATCATGTGCTTTGACTCAGTGTTCGGCATTCTGTGCACACTGGTGCAGGGGTTGGGTCCCCAACGCCTCAGGCAGCTCCATTCCTATGGCTTTCCTGGTCTGAGGTCATGTTTCAGCAGGCTGGCATTGCGCACTGGTAGCTTCACAATTTTGAGGTCTCCATAGTGGTCCTGCTCCGACGGCTCCACTAGGCGTGGTGCTGTTGGGGTTTTTCTGCTGCAACTCCAACCCCGCATTTCCACTCAGTATTGCTCTAACGAAGGCTGTCTGCAGTGACTCCATCCCTGCAACATCTCTCCCTGGGTCCCCAGGCTTTTCCATACATTCTTTGAAATAGGGGTGGAGGTTTCCAAGCCTCCACAACTCTGGCATTCTGCGAGCCTACAGACTTAAAACGGCAACGCCGCCAGGGTTTCTGGCTTGAATTTTCCAAAACTGCGGATCCAGCCACACCTGGAGCCAGTTTAGCAATGGCTGGAGCAGCTGAAATAGCTAGGGTGCTAAGAGCGAGCCCAAGGAGGGTGCTTCAGGCTTGCTCCCAGAGACCATTCTGTCTCCCTAGGCCTCTGGGCCTGTATTGGAAGGGTTGGCCCCAGAGGCTTCTGCAATGCCTTCAGGGCCTTTTTCGCCTTCTCTTGATAATCCCTTTCTTTTGTACTAATCTTAGCAAACGGTTGCTGAGCTGCACCATTTGTATTTTTCTCCTGAAAATGCTCTCTGCTTCTCTACCACATGGCCAGGTTGCAAATTTTCCAAACCTTTACACTCTGCTTTCCTCTTAAATCTGGCTTTGTATAATGCCTTTGCTGCCATAACTCAGTGTAGGCTGTTAGAAGTAGCCATGCGAAGACTATGCTTTCAGGGATCATTTCTACAGTTTGTTACTAGAGAAGTTTCTCTGAATGTGTAGAGCACTAAAAACTATGAGGAGCAGTTGTAGTGTTCTCTCTGGAGCATAAAGCTGGTTCTTGGTGTTGTTTTATTGCAACTGCCATTTACGATTGATGATCGTCCCTGCTTTTCTATTAGAAGAGTAAGGTGGAAAGAACACAGGCTGAGTGGTTTCGGAAAAAAAAAAAGTAGCCGTGCAGCTTCCTGAATGTATTGCTGCTTAGAAATTTCTTCCACCACAGGGCCAGCCTGTGGCTCACTTGGGAGAGTGTGGTGCTGATAACACCAAGGCCATGGGTTCGGATCCCTATATAGGGATGGTCGGTTAGCTCACTTGGGAGAACGTGGTGCTGACAACACCACATCAAGGGTTAAGATCCCCTAGTGGTTATCTTTTAGGAAAAAAAAAAAAGAAAGAAAAGAAATTTCTTCCACCAAATACTTTGGTTCATAACTCCTAAGTTCCAACTCCCACAAAGTTCGAGGGCAGGGACAAAATGCAGCCAAATTCCTTGCCAGTTCATAGCAAGAGTGATTTTTACCCCAGTTTCTAAGAAATCTCTTTTTATTTCTGTTCGAGACCTCCTTAGAATGGTCTTTTTTTTTTTTTTGTCTTTTTTCGTGACCGGCAACGGATCGCAACCCTCAGTGTCGCGCCCGTACCGGACCGGGACCGGCAACAGGATCGCAACCCTCAGTGTTGCTCCCGCACCTCGCTCAGCCAGCGAGCGGCCGGTCTGCATGTGGGATCCGAACCCTCGGCGGGAGCGCCACCACACTTCCCAAGCGGCGCACTGTAGCAGTGCGCCACCAGGCCGGCCCTAGAATGGTCTTTATAGTCCTTATTTTCATAAGCATTCTGGTCACCACCGCTTAACTAGTCTAAAACTTTTCCTGGTTTTCTTGTCTTCTAAACTTTCACCAGCATCTAGGCTTTTTCTAGCCTATTCCTTGAAATTCCTCTAGGCTTTCCTCAACACCTAGTTCAAAGCTGTTTTGACATTTACAAGTAATTGTTATAAGCAACACCCACTCCTGGTACCAATTTTCTATATTAGTCTGTTTCTGTTGCTTATAACAAAATACATGGAACTAGGTAATTTATAAGAAAATGAAATTTATTGCTTATAGTTTCAGAGGCTGGGAAGCCGGAAGTCCAGGGAACACATCTGGTGAGGGTCTTTTTGGTGTTGGCTTTACAGCAATGCAGGTGTCTCACATGACAGAACATGGTGGACCAGAAACTCTTCCAATTGCTTTCCTTTTAAAGCCCTCCTAACCACACCCCTGATCAACATTATTTATCCAGTCACTACAGCATGATCCTCCAATTTAATCACCTCTTCAAAGCTCCACTTTTCTATTACCATAATAGGCTTTCCTACCCTTAACAGTTAAAGTGGGAGTTAAGCTTCTCATATGTAAACTTTGGGGGACAAAGTTCAATCAATGTACAGCATCGTGTAATCAAAACCCTGCTTTTTTGTGTGTGTGTGTGTGGGGGGGGGCTGGTGGCTGGTTCTGAACCCTTGACCTTTCTTATATCAGCACCACGCTCTACTGAGTGAGCTAACCTGTCAGCCCCATTTTTCTTGTCATCTGCACTATGGTTGGAGGTACAGGAACAGGGAAGTGGAGCTCCACATCCTAAGTAAAGTATGTTTTTAGGAGCTCCTGTTTGTTTGGCACCAAGAGAAGATTTCTTCCCTTGGCCCTAGCCTATGGTACTTGGCGTAATTTTCTATATGCCTGAAATTTGTAGCCACCACAAAAAATTTAGAGGTATGTTTAATTTGGGGCTGGCTAGAGTTGGTTAGAGTGCGGTGTTGTAACACCAAGGTCAATGGTTCAGATCCCTGTACTGCCAAAAGAAAAAAGAAAAAAATAAATATATGTAATCGTCCATATGAAAGGAAAGATTACCTTGTCCCAGCACTGAGTATGAAGACCTGATCTAGTCTTTGTCCAGTTTTCTTGTGTTTAGTTATAAGTAGTTTCAAAGTAGTAGAAGACTAGAGATATCAAGGTATCTTAAATATCTACCGTCTTCAGTAGTAGCTATTTACTGTATCAGCTTTCACAGCAGTAAAGCATGCTCATTAGTACTGTTCTTAAATATTTGTTTGGTGATTTGGCACCTGTTTTGTGTCTTAAACAATTGCTGCAGAGATACCACTAACATTAGACTAGAACCTTATTCCCTGTCTTAATTTTGGGAATTTTAGGTGCTGGAGAATGCTGAAGGTGCCAGAACCACCCCTTCAGTTGTTGCCTTTACAGCAGATGGTGAGCGACTTGTTGGCATGCCAGCCAAGCGACAAGCTGTCACCAACCCAAACAATACATTCTATGCCACCAAACGTCTCATTGGCCGACGATATGATGACCCTGAGGTACAGAAAGACATGTGAGTAATAGCAAAAGCACAGTTGTTTGCAAAGGCCACACAGAAGAATATTGCATCACGTTGATCAGGATTACTGGAGCAACTTACTTTAGTGACTTTACATATTGTAAATCCATGGGAGAGATCCATGCCCCTGCCAGAAGGGTAACTCCTTTAAGAAATGCTTTTTCACCTTCACAAATTAGGTCTTTGCTATGTATTGATGTAATATATGAAGATCTGTGAGGCATTCCCGTAAATTGGTATTAGACACATGAGACAGATAATTACATAGGTTTTATATTATGTATATATAACCATCACCTTGTTTTTTCTTTTCAAAGTAAAAATACTAGAAGCCTAAGTAGTTTCCTGTGTAAATCTTATTTTTAAACAGCTTTATTGAGCTCCGAATGGAATATAAATTCCCTATGAATGGATTCATATATATGTGGACTTCTGTGGCTGGCTTCTTTCACTTAGCATAATTTTCAAGGTTCATACATGTTGTAGCATCTATCAATATTTTATTCCTTTTTATGGCCAGACATTCTGCTGTGTGGATATATACCACATTTTGTTTATCATTTTGTCAGTTGATGGACATTTGGGTTGTTTCCACTTTTTGGTGATTATGAATAATGCTGCCATTTTTGTGTAGACATATGTTGTCATGTCTCTTGTGTGGATACCTAGTAATGGGATTGCTCAGACATAACAGTTATGATGTTTCATCTTCAAGTGGAGCTGTCAGACTGTTTTTCAAAGAGGCTGCAAAAATCTTTTGCTTAATGGGAAGTAAAGAATGTTCAGGTTTCATCGGGATGGTGTTTTTACGTGGTAGTGCTTGCTTTCTAAAAATTTTCATTAAATTTCTGAAATTATCATTTGCTGTCCATGGGTCTCTTGGGGTGGAGTATGTACGTTTATGGTATATAGTAACCTTGTTGTGGTAGGTTACACTGGCCATTTTTCTCTAATATAATTTTTGTGTCTTTCAGTAAAAATGTTCCCTTTAAAATTGTCCGTGCCTCCAATGGTGATGCCTGGGTTGAGGCTCATGGAAAACTTTATTCCCCAAGTCAGATCGGAGCATTTGTGTTGATGAAGATGAAAGAGACTGCAGGTGAGTAAATGTAGTTCACATCTGGGAAGGTTCAGGGTGTGCTGTATGATTTCTCTGTGATAACTGGCTCCATACCCTAGTGTTCCACAGTTGAGTCTGTTTTGTATAGAAAACCTGCTAATAGCAAAACTTTGTTATTTTTCATACGTTTACTGCAGATTGAATTTACTTTCAAGGTTTACTAATGGTGGCTGGCTTGTGTTTATTTCCCCAGTAAGGGGCATTGTTCTGTATTAAAAACTAGAAGACTACACATTAAACTTTTGCCCCTGTTAAGTAAAACAACATCCCATTTGAAGAAACCAGTGGCTGTTTTAAATGTAAAAGTCATTGTAGCTTGGTGAACTTTCACTAAAATGTTAAAGGTGAGATCTTTGGTTTTCAGCTAGTATCTTTAATTGGAGTGTTTTCTTACAAGGACTCTACATGTTAAGTCACTTGCCCAAAAACTGATGAGTGTTGTTTGTGGCTACAAAAGAGGATCACACAAATTGTTAGGCTACGTTAATAATTCTCTTGCCTGTTGTATATGACAAAGTCCCATGATTGAATTTCATTCTTTCTTTTTTTTTTCAGAAAATTACTTAGGACACACAGCAAAAAATGCTGTGATCACAGTCCCAGCTTATTTCAATGACTCACAGAGACAGGTGAGGTGAATTAGCGTTCTTATTCACAAAAAGTAATGGTAGTTGAGACACAAGAGTGGAAAAACGCTTTTTCTTTGTTTTCTCTAGGCCACTAAGGATGCTGGCCAGATATCTGGACTCAATGTGCTTCGGGTGATTAATGAACCCACAGCTGCTGCTCTGGCCTATGGTCTGGATAAATCAGAAGACAAAATGTAAGTTTGTGCAGTAAATTCCACCTGTATGTATGAGACTAAGGTTAGGGAGCTCTGAGTCTGATCCTAGATCATCTCTTGATTTCTTAGTGTTTGAGCCTTGTCCTTGGACTAAAAATGCCTTTACTTTATACAAGGCTGTATGGTCTCTGTTTTTCATTTGTTTGAAGACCATTTCTTTGTTTATTTACTTTTGGTTTGTGTTAATTTTTCTTTGCCTTGATAGGAATGTCGGCAAGTATTATTCATCCAAAACTGTGATTGAATACTGTCAGTTTTATTGCTTTTAAAAATTGAGTTTCGTTTCAGCTCTGTGTGTGCATTGTACATTACCTCTTAAAGCCACGTGTTAACCAACATGTCACTTAGGCAGTTATCAGATTTCATAATTATTCTTCAGGAAATAGCTAAGTTAATTTTCATTTGGTTATTGAGATTTATACATTTGTGACAGATTTTTTTCCTTAAAACTTTCTCTCCTTTCTAGCATTGCTGTGTATGATTTAGGTGGTGGAACTTTTGATATTTCTATCCTGGAAATTCAGAAAGGAGTATTTGAGGTGAAATCCACCAATGGGGACACTTTCTTAGGTGGTGAGGACTTTGACCAGGCCTTGCTACGATACATTGTGAAGGAGTTCAAGAGAGAGGTTAGTTACCATTGTGGTTAATATGTAGACACTGGATATTGAGAATTTCTGTTCTTTTTTATATTTTTATTTTTGTTTTTGGTGGCTGGCCAGTACAGGAATCCACACCCCTGACCTTGGTGTTATCAACACCATGCTCTAACCAAGTGAGCTAACCAGCCAGCCCTGGATATTGAGAATTTCTTTGTTCAGATTGCTCTTTGCTTCATTTACAATCTTTTTGCCCTTAAGGGAGCACTGAAATAATTGCATTTTGTGTTAATAGGTGTACTGAACTATTCTGGTTATTGCAGCTTCAGATTGGGAACAAATAAGGGACATAAGTTTATGGCACTCAGTATATAATACTGGGAGAGGAATATGGGTAACTCCTTTTTGAACTAGAATCCTAGGGCTGGAAAGAACTGAACATCAGTTCAGCCCCCTGCTTCCAGGCACAGATACCGTTTTCAGAAGAAGCTACTTTTCCCCTACACATTTTTAAGAGTGATAAAAAGTAATTCATGTTTGCTCAAAAAGGTATGGCTCCATTTTGTGTTGTTCCACGTTTCTGCTATGATTTAAGTAGTATTCGTCATCTCACTAATGCTAGTATTGTGTGTTTTAACTTTGTAGACAGGGGTTGATTTGACCAAAGACAACATGGCACTTCAAAGGGTGCGGGAAGCTGCTGAGAAGGCTAAATGTGAACTCTCCTCATCTGTGCAGGTGAGACATGGAAAAGTCCCAGCAGTCTTGAATATTTTCAGCCTGAGTTTATTTGAATAGAATATTCTAATTGGCCTAATGCCAGTTCAGTCTTTTTACAGTTTTCTGGTTGGCAGAAACCTTTGCCATGAGCAAAGGAGCAGTATGAGCTTTAGTTTGTTTTTAATGGATGAGCTGAAATTTTTTAACCACCCAAATGAGAGGTTATGTATACCGGAGCCAGATATTAAGATCTGAATCATAGTTGATGCAGTTGTTTGCCTTTAAGTTAAAGACGTGGATTTAAAAATCTAGTCTAGCATTGTGCAAAATTAGAATTACCAGCCTGGAAAAACTGCTGTCTTCACTTAACTGAACACATCTCTCCCTGTGAATTGTGGGAGTCTCTATCTCTCATTTAATAATTTGTTCCTTTGTTTGTTTTTGGCGGCTGGCTGGTACAGGGATCAAACCCTGGACCTTGGTGTTATCAGTACCGTGCCATAATCAAGTGAGCTAACCAGCCAACTCATTTAATAATTTGGATGGCCAGTCTAGAAAATGATCTGTGAAACCTTGCTGAAGTCTACACCTGTGCACAGATTCCCTCTGAAAGCATCAGATTTGCTTGGCTTCTGTGAGAGGTGAAGCCTCACTTTCCCTTAACTACCAAGAATAGAATTGTAGAAACTGTATTAAATCTGAGTTGGAGACCCACAAAGATGGAAGATAGCAGATCTATTTCTGGGTTCTTAAGTGACAGCAGGAAGAGCAGAGCTGTGACTTCTTAAAATTTTTTTCCTAAGCAGTAGGCTTTATCCATCTATTTATGTATGTATGTTTGTTTTGGTAGCTGGCTGGAACAGGGATCCAAACCCTTGACCATGGTGCTTGATGTTATCAGCACCAGCTCTAACCAAGTGAGCTAGCTGGCCAGCCTAGACTTTGTTTTTATAGCAGTTTTACATTCACAGAGAAATTGAACGGAGAGAACAGATACTTGCCTCACATCACCACCATCCCTATATAGTTTCTACTATTATTAACTTGTTACATTAGTGTGGTACATTTGTTACAATTTTGAACCAATATTGATGTTATTATTAACTCAGTTTTACTTTAGGGTTTCTTTGTGTTGTGCAGTTTTATGGGTTTTGCCAAATACATGTCATGTATTTGCTATTACAGCATCATACAAAATTGAGTACTTTCCTTGTTTGTTTGATCACCGGCAGGGAAGTGGTATTTACAGAAACTGTCAATGTGTTGATAAAGTGGTTGCTACTAATTAGCCTGCATTTCAACCTGAGTTTTGTTTTTGTCTTTTTTTAAGTGGCTGTGAAGAGTAGACAAAGTTGTACACACTCATCCTTGCTGCTCATGATGTTACTTTGTTCCTGCTATCATATGGAGTAGCAGAACTTTGCAGCATGATGATTAGGGTTGGAGTTGAAATGTGTGGTAGTGCCAGAAGATAATTTGTAATGCTTTAAAGGGATTTGACACTTTTTGTGGGAGTGATACATTGGAAGATGTTGGCTGGCTTTAATTAGTGTGGTATCCCATTAATAGTCATTTAGATTGTTTTCCAGCATTTAGTTTTATAGCAAGATGTATTGTACATATTGTACAAGCATTCTTGTACTTTCAGGTTTGTATAAGTGATTGTAAATCTGTAGGATAAATTCCTAGAAGCATTTATTACTCTCATGTAGTTTATAGTGTGATTGGGCAGATGGACATTAATTAGAACATTATATTTTTTGTTGGTTTGCTTTTTTTTTTTGGTGGCTGGCCAGTATGGGGTTCTGAACCCATGACCTTTGTGTTATAAAGCTGCACTCTAACCAACTCAGCTAACTGGCCAGCCGAGAACATTGTATTAATAAATGTCAAACCAGAAGTGATAAAGTAGAAGAGTGATGATTCCGCAAGCAGGCTGCTGGGGTTCAAGTCCCTGTTCATCACTGCTTAGCTGTTGATGTTTCTTATCTACAAAATGAGGATATTAGTAGTATTTTCTCCCTTAAAGTTGTGAGGATTACCGAATTAATACATATAGTATGCTCAGGATAATGTGAAGTAAACATCGGGTATTCTAAAATGTAAGTTATTGTTAATGTAACAGGTGATAAAAAGGCAGAATTACATTTATAATTTTAAAAAGTAACCTGACAGAGTGTTCAGGATAACAAGGATAGCTCCTGATAGATGACTTAACCAGGAGAAGATAAGGGGCAGTATGTATTAGGCTCTGGGGTGAAGACCTGAGAAGGGCCAGTGTGGCTAAAGTGCAGATGCAGAGAGGGGGTGGCCATCATGGAAGGTGAAGCTAGAGGCTTTATTTATTTTTTTAAAAAGGTGACCAGTAAGGGGATCTTAACCCTTGACTTGCTGTTGTCAGCACCATGCTCTCCCAAGTGAGTGAACTGGCCATCCCTATATAGGGATCCGAACCCGTGGCCTTGGTGTTATCAGCACCACACTCTCCCAAGTGAGCCACGGGCCGGCCTGAAGCTAGAGGCTTTATACATTTGGGGTTTGGTGTCTATCCCGAGATAATTGAGTACAAACTCCAGAAGAGTTTTAAGTTGGTGGTAGTATGTGGTCTTATTTTGATTCATGAAAAGCCTTCTGGCTGTGGTGGAGTGGAGAATTGTTTGGTAGCATCCTGTGGCAGAGGGCAGTGGATGTGGGAAGATGTGGGGAGGCTATCCTAACACCAGGTGGTTTGTAAACACCAGCAGACTGCTTGCAGAACCGTCACTCTTCTACTTTACATCACTTCTGGTTTGACATTGTCTGGGCCGGCTGGTTAGCTAAGTTGGTTAGAGTGCAGCGTTATAACACAAAGGTCATGAGTTCAGATCCCCGTACTGGTCAGCCACAAAGGAAGTACTTGAACTAGAGCTGGGGAGCGAGAGATAACCTGGCTGGATTTCAGTGGCACAGAACTTTTGTGGTGGCTGTAGAGGTTTGAGAGTTGGTAGTCCTGGAGTTTTTCAGATTGGCATTACTGTTAGCATTTAGAGGTGTGCTAATAACCGCAGCTACATGTGGGTATTTTAATTAAAATTAAATAAACTTTAAAATTCTGTTCCTTAGTTGCACTGGTCTTATTTCAAGTGCTCAGTAGCCGTACGTGAGTGGTTACTGAATTCGACAGGATAAAGAACATTTTCATTGTCACAGAAAGTTCCACTGGACAGCATTGGCTTATATAATTAAATTCTATTCTCTGATTTGGTTTATTAACATCTTGCAAAGAAGAAAGAAATTGTCAGTGGTATTCTTTAAAGCAAAGTCCACTACCTATTTCTACAGATGGCGTGTTAACTCATTATTTATTCAGTATTTAAATGTTTAGAGTGCTTTCTCCTAAAGAAAGATAGTTAAGGACTCACTCCTCTCGATTAATATTTACACTGTGCTGGCCTCTTTGCTGGCTGTCAGCAAATTCTGTGATGAATTTTGTTAGTCTAAATATTCCAAGTTACACATTATAAGATCCTGTGCCTTACTAGGGTTTGGGATTTATTAAATACTGGCGGTTAACATTGTGCAACTATCAGGTGCTCGCCACAGATGTGATTGCATGCAGGTCAGTCCTCTTTATTTTTTTTTTTTGCAGATTTTTTTTTTTTTTTTAATTTTTATTTTGTCAATATACAATGTATATGATTATTATGGCCCATCACCGACACCTCCCTCCCTCCTCCCTCTCTCCCCTCCCCCCCAAGCATTTCTGTAGCTTTCTTAACCACTTAACAAGCTTCCTAGAACATAAAAAGCCTGGGGTGATGGCACATTATTTGGTTCAGAGCGTACCTTTGACATTTTTCTTCATGTACATGAGATATTTTGAAAACTTGGTGAAAGAAAACATTATTCGTATTTGTTTGTTCTTCCTTTTTTGGCAGCCGGCCGTTACCAGAATCCGAGCCCATGACCTTGGGGTTATAAGGCTGCTCTCTAACCAGTTGTGCTAACTGGTCCATCCTTTAATGTGATTCTTAATGAAAGTAGGTCTGACCCTCACTGTGGCTTTCCAAGTCTTTCTGTCCTAGGATATGGTCTTATTTTAACTGAGGTAATAAAGAAACTTAACTACCATTGACCTTCCCATTGATGTACAATTAAACATATCCTTTGCAGACCGACATCAACTTACCATATCTTACAATGGATACTTCTGGACCCAAGCATTTGAATATGAAGCTGACCCGGGCTCAATTTGAGGGCATTGTCACTGATCTAATCAGGAGGACTATGGCTCCATGCCAAAAGGCTATGCAAGATGCAGAAGTCAGCAAGAGTGACATAGGAGAAGTGATTCTTGTTGGTGGCATGACTAGGATGCCCAAGGTATGGACCCATGGAGTTCTTGTCATGGGAGGAGGAGAGGGCTAGCACATAATGTATTCTGGGGACTGGTGGCTTATGTTGTATATGGACATGAATATGTGGTCCATTCTGCTAGGGTGACCTGAAAGAGGGATGGAATTGTGTTCTCACTGAAGAGTTTACAACTTTTTTTTTTTTTTTTAATTAAAAGGTACCTAAAAAACAATTAGGTAGAGAATGTCTTTTGGGACAGTATCAAGGGAGGATTTCTTTTTTATTTATTTATTTTCTTAAGATGACCGGTAGGGGGATCTTAACCCTTGACTTGGTGTTGTCAGCACCACACTCTCCAAAGTGAGCCACAGACCAGCCCTAAGGGAGGATTTCTAACTCAGTCTTGTAGAATTTTCACAAGTGAAAGTTTGAGGTCAGAGATAGCTTAAAACTTTGCAGCATAGTGCCTGGGGTTTCTTTTGCATCTCTTCAACAAAGATTTGTGCAGTGATGCATTTTATTCATCAACACATCATTCTGAAAGCACAAATGTGTGGAAAACTAATGACTGAGCACAGACCTGTTGAAGGTGCAATTCTTCCTTGGCTGCCTGAGTAGAATTACCTTGGGCCTGAGTTAGTGACTTATTTTCTTCATTTTTCCATTGGAATATGTGGGCTTAGGAAAATGCATACAGAAGAAACCTGAGGGAGAGGAACAAAAAGAGGCTCTGGGCCAGGAGGATATCTTGATGTTAACAGATTATCCTAGATGTCATTCAGATAGCACTTTTTCTTGGCCTTAATATAATAAACAGGAGGAAAGAATATGCCCCACATCAGTACCAGTTTTATTATGGCTTCCTTTAAATTGGTTTTTAGTTGATAATGCAGCAGAGGGCTTGGACTACACGATTTCGAAGTCCCCTTACTTTCCACCTTGTGTTTCAAGTGATTTAATGTGTTGTGTGGGAAACCAGAAATAAAACTTACACGAATTCTTCCCAAATTTAAAAGGGCCATGAATGAGGTACTGCCATGAATAAAGTATGTGAGTATTATCAGATCATTAACAAGAACTCAACTATGAAATAGTAGTTTGAGTAAACATTCTTGGATCTTGGGGCCGGCCCGGTGGCGCACTGCTACAGTGTGCCGCTTGGGAAGCGCGGCGGCGCTCCCACCGAGGGTTCGGATCCCACATACAGACCGGTTCCCGCTCGCTGGCTGAGCGAGGTGCGGGAGCAACACCAAGGGTTGCGATCCCGTTGCCAGTCCCGGTCCGGTACGGGCGTGACACTGAGGGTTGCGATCTGTTGCCGGTCATGAGAAAAGACAAAAAGGGAGGAAAAAAAAAAAATTCTTGGATCTGAATCAACCTGTCTTGAGACTTGCTTAGGACATACATGTGCTCTTTCCCATTCTAAGGCAGTTGCTCTGAGTGTTGGGTGACAGGTTCTTTATCTTTGATGCTCAGGTTCAGCAGACTGTGCAGGATCTTTTTGGTCGAGCCCCAAGTAAAGCTGTCAATCCTGATGAGGCTGTGGCCATTGGAGCTGCCATTCAGGGAGGCGTGTTGGCTGGTGATGTCACAGATGTGCTGCTCTTGGATGTCACTCCTCTGTCTTTGGGTATTGAGACTCTGGGAGGTGTCTTTACCAAACTTATTAACCGGAACACTACTATTCCAACCAAGAAGAGCCAGGTAAGAGCCATCTTTCCCTACCTTGTCACTGAGGTATTTAGATTCTGTGAGGGATGTGATTGCAGTCACTTATGTGAGCTTTTTCTAGAAAACTTGACTCTGTTTTGCAGTCCAGAGTAGTTGACTGTGGGTGGTGAGTCTCATCTTTAGTTTTTTTCTTTTGTTCCTGGGAAAGTTCTTACATGTTAGCTGGCAGTGATGATTGTAGGGAGGGTGTCAACAGTCTCTCCTTCACAGGATTAACATGATTTGCTGAAAGGAGTCTCAGTTGTTTGGGAGAGAATTCCATGTAGTGTTCTGTTACCAAAGACAGTAAAAAGAATAGCCTGGCCAAGACTTGGGGAGTGTGCTTGTTTTATGAGTTGAATGATGGTATAATAGGGGTACTGAGATACCAAGCAGGGCTATTTGAACAGGCTTGGTCTTGGATTAAGAATTATTTCCTGGCTTTCCCAATCTTAACATTTTTTCTGAAAAACTATGGCTTTTGCTGTATTTGTTAACACATCATTCTGAAGAAAGGTGTGGTGACTTCCTGTGACTGAGAACATGATACATCTCTTGTTTCTGATCCGAGTTTCCCCAGACCAGTGTGTTTCAACATTTAACTCCTTCTCTTGAGGCTGCCTGTGCTAATGCTGTATTTTTGTACAGTGCATTTGCTTAGTTGAGACAGTAGCTATTATATGCTCTTTTGCTGTACTAATCCTACTCCTTTTCCCTGTAAAGACATAGCCTTTGTTCTGAACATAGGACCCTTCCAATGTTGAGATGTGAATTTCTTTCTCTGGCTTGCCTATTGTCTGTATAAGTAGAGTAGTTTTCTTTCTTTTCTTCTCTTTTTTTTTTCGGTGGCTGGCCAGTATGGGGATCAAACCCTGAATCTAGGTGTTATCATCATCATTCTCTAACCAACTGAGCTAACTGGCAGCCCAGGGGAGTAGTTTAATTGGTTGGCAAACCCAGGAAGTTTTCTTCCTCCCTAGGTGTTTTCTACTGCTGCTGATGGTCAGACTCAAGTGGAGATTAAAGTGTGTCAGGGTGAGAGAGAGATGGCTGGAGACAACAAACTTCTTGGACAGTTTACTTTGGTAGGTATTGTTAATCCTGAATATTGCTTAGTCTCTTCAGTGTAAAGTTAGACAATATTCTAACCCATAAAAACGTTACTACAAACTACTAACATACAAACGTGTACTATGTTATCTTGAGAAGGTATGCAAATGAATTCTGCAAGTGGATACCGATTGCTTTAGTTTTTACCTGAAAGCCTTGCTTGCTATTGTGCCTTAGGAACTTCATCAAGAAGTTTATAAATATAAGAAGCAGGGAAATGTTCAGAATCAATCATTTCTCCTGATTACTCATTTAAAAGACGTTTGATATTGGTTTCTGATCAGCACTGCTTATTGATACTTGGTGAGATGAACAATAGTGGGGAGGTTGGCTCTCTTTCAGTATGTCCTGCATACCAGGTACATACAGCCATTTATGGATATTTGCTACATAACTAATCTTCACAGGTATAAGCCCTGTTGATTTCAGGACGTGATAAACCTACTACCCTCATTTGCGTTTTTGTACACTAGGTCAAGGTATTCATTGTTCCTCCCAGAAACGAGCTGACTTCTTTACCAGAAGACCATATAGATTTGAACATAATAGCACTGGAACCCCTCCCTCTGTGAGAGGAGCTTACTCTTGATATTTGCTTATTTATTTTAGATTGGAATTCCCCCAGCCCCTCGTGGAGTCCCTCAGATTGAAGTTACATTTGACATTGATGCCAATGGGATTGTACATGTTTCTGCCAAAGATAAGGGCACAGGACGTGAGCAGCAGAGTAAGTCCTCTTAATTTTCAGACTAAGAGGGAGATAAGGGACGCTGTTGGGAAATAGACCTTCTTGTTGTGCTGCATGTCTTTTTTCCCCCAGCCTCGGGGGAGGATGATGAGTCCTTTTTGCCCCTTTTCTCCTCAGTTATCAGATTGATTTTTACAAGTGTAGTATTTATTCCCCAAAAAATAGGCAAGCAGTGAGGCTGAAGTTTTAGTAGGCAGGAGGCCAGCCAGTTGGACTTTAGGTTTCCTTTTCCTTCTTAAAGGAAAATAGGGTATTCCTCTTTGTAATTTGCCTCAAGATTGACTACTGTGAGCTGGTGTATTTCTTTTCTTAATAGAGGAAGAAGAGGCATATAATTTTACTTTGGAACTAATGAAATGCCTTTTTTTATTACAGTCGTAATCCAGTCTTCTGGTGGATTAAGCAAAGATGATATTGAAAATATGGTTAAAAATGCAGAGAAGTATGCTGAGGAAGACAGGAGAAAGAAGGTGATCACTTTTTGCCTTTCTTCTGAGCTTCTTAATCTTAGTAAAGCTGGGACATGAAAGTGGGAGTTTGGACATGTCATTGCTCTTATATTTCTCTTGCCTCAATCTATTCTTTCTTCCCCTTTGCTCATAACTTAGGTGTGGAATGCCTTTCTTATTTCTTCTCGGTCTTTCGCTGTCAAAATTCTCATGTTACAGGGGCCGGCCCGGTGGCGCACTGGATAGTGCGCCGCTTGGGAAGCGCGGCGGCGCTCCCGCCCGAGGGTTCGGATCCCACGTACAGACCAGTTCCCGCTCGCTGGCTGGGCGAGGCGCGGGAGCAACGCCGAGGTTTGCAATCCCGTTGCCGGTCCGGTGCGGGGGCGGCACTGAGGGTTGCGATCCGTTGCCGGACACGGAAAAAAGACAAAAGACAAAAAAAAAAAAAAAAAAATCTCATGTTACAAAATACAGCTCAAATCACTCTTTTTATTTTTTTTCCTTTTTGTCTTTTTTTTCGTGACCGGTAACGGGATCACAACCCTTGGTGTCGCGCCCACACCGCGCTCAACCAGTGAACGGACCGGTCTCCATATGGGATCTGAACCCTCGGCGGAAGCGCTGCACTCTACCGAGTGCACCACTGGGCCAGCCCTCAAATCACTCTTTTCTCCCCCCCCCCTTTTTTTGTCTTTTTTTTTTTTTCGTGTCCGGCAACGGATCGCAACCCTCAGTGTCGCGCCCGTACCGGACCGGGACCGGCAACGGGATCGCAACCCTCGGCATCGTGTCCACATCTCGCTCAGCCAGTGAGCGGGAACCGGTCTGTATGTGGGATCCGAACCCTCGGTGGGAGCGCCGCTGTGCTCCCAAGCGGTGCACTGTAGCAGTGCGCCACCGGGCCGGCCCTCAAATCACTCTTAAAGCTGTCCCAGACTACCTCAAACCACAGTGATTTCTCTCTCATTTTCTATTTTATTCTGTAACTGTACGCAGCAGATAGTTTAGTCTTGCTCACTGTGGACATTCAGCAAACTATGGTTGATTGGAAAATCTTCCTTTATGTTAAACTTCTAATTTCTTCCAGGAACGAGTTGAAGCAGTTAATATGGCCGAAGGAATCATTCATGACACAGAAACCAAAATGGAAGAATTCAAGGACCAATTGCCTGCTGATGAGGTGAGTTCTGTTTTAAAATAACTCGAAGTTGGAGGCATTATCATCAGTGTCATTAAAATTCATTTTTTGTGGGTATTGGTAGGGATTTAATTTTTAATTGTTTTTGAATATTAACTGCCACATGTTATGGGACAGGAAACCTGGAAAAGTGAGGATTTTTTTTCCTTTTTCTCTTTTTTTCTAAGTGTAACAAGCTAAAAGAAGAGATTTCCAAAATGAGGGAGCTCTTGGCTAGAAAAGACAGCGAAACAGGAGAAAACATTAGGCAAGCAGCATCCTCCCTTCAGCAGGCATCATTGAAGCTCTTTGAAATGGCGTACAAAAAGGTAAAGGAACTGATGGAATGGTGTTTTGGTCCTAATTTGACCTTGATCTGACTGCTCTTGATTACTATCACTGGTGGTTTCCTCCATTGCCATTTATGGAATTGAGAAGTGAGTTGGAAATATCCTCTTGCCCTTTTGACTCTACTTTGGGAGTGGGGGTAGGGTCAAGTGAAGGATTCACAGAAACCACCAAATAGTGTACAAGGAGGGGAGAGAGACTGGAATAGAGACACAGAATGGGGAAAATGTGGCTCCTTCATTTTTGCATTCAGCAGAGAGCAGCATAGCCCTGACATTAAATCTGAGTGGCTCTCAAATGTTTTCTTAACAGATGGCATCTGAGCGAGAAGGCTCTGGAAGTTCTGGCACTGGGGAACAAAAGGAAGATCAAAAGGAGGAGAAACAGTAATAGTAAATTTTGGAGCCAAAAGGACACATACTATGAAGCTTGGGAGTGAAGGGATTTCCTGAGCAGAAATGGGCAAACTTCAGTCTCTTTACTGTGTTTTTGCAGTATTCTATATAATTTCCTTAATATGTAAACTTAGTGTCTGTTAATGGTCATTTAATGAGTGATAATTCCCCAGCAGTAGAAAGTTGACAATGTTCTGTCCCTAGCCTGTCATCATTTTTCAGCTGCATGTAAAAGGGTGATAGGACAATTTATTGATCATTATAAAGACTTAACATTGTTTTGTGCTGAAGTGGCCATATTTTTAAGGGATGAAACCATTTCACACACAACAATGAAGGTGGTCAGTCACACCTGGAATGAGACCATATAGGGATGAGATCCTTTTAGTTAGGTGAGTAACTGCTGTACTCCGGCTTGTGTGTATTTGGGGTCCTTCCACTGAGGCCTTGAAAGGCGAACCAGCTGTGCCATATTTATAGGTGGGGCAAGGAAGCCAGATCAATGGAAAACTAAGCTAGCTATTTATGTTAGGTACAGCTTGTAAAACAAGGTAGTAATGAGGCTCCCTAACTTTCCTAAGGCATACTTTTATAGCTACCTTCTGGCCTGTGTCTGTCACCTACATCCTTGATGATTGTTCTTTTTGATCCATTATGGATTTTTTAAAAAATAAATATGAAAAGCATCTTGATCTCGTTTGTGAGTGGTAAGACTCTTAAGATTTGACTTTAGGAATATGAAGACCTCTGCTTCCCATACATCCCAAGGGGGGAAAATACAGCTAACACTGGCTAAAAATGCAAACAAATTGAAGATGTGGAAGGGGTGGTATAATGAAATGATAAGTAGTATTAGCATAGGCAAATCTGTTAGGAGCATGTGTGTGTGTTCCCCTGCCCGGTAGCCCTATCTTAAATTTGGAATTGAAACAGTCTACATACAGATAAACCAGGACTATTTTCAGGTTGCTTTCAGCTGTAAGTAGCAAAAAAAAAATACAACCAGAATTGGCTTACGTTAGAGAAACTCATATTTTGTAATAAGTTCTATGGTATGACTTCAATGGCTTAAAAATAACGAACCCAGATTCTTTCCCTATTTCTGCTCTTCTATTCTCAGTGTATTGGCTTGTCCCATATTTTCTGATGTAGTTCTAATAATCACATGCTGACAATTTAGGAAGCAGAAAGGTGACTGCTTTTCTCTTGTATTTCATTCAGTGTAAAGAATTACTTCCAAAAGTCCCCAAGCAGACTTCCGTTCATGTTTCATGAATTATTGTCATATGTCATGCCTAAAGGAGTCTCTTACCAAGAAGATGGCCTTAGACTATCAGACATAATGCCTACTCTTAGGTTTTGTAATGATACCTAGAAACAAAATTCGTACATTTTAAAAAATCAATATAAGAAATCAGTTTAATGCTCTAGTGTGAAGGAAGTGATTGAGACAATAATTACATTCCTGGAAAATGCAATGTTTGTTACCACCCATGTAAAAGATTCTTGGGATTCATGTGAAAAATTTTAGGCCCAAGTTTCAGACACATAAACACTTGATGGGAACATTTAGGAATGTGTAGTAATTTCTTCATTATGAAGGATTGTTCTGTGGTGTGCTGGAAAATATTTAGCATTTCTGGTTGGCCCTTGCTGAACTGTCTCCCTGAGTTTTTTTTTTAAAAAAAAAAGCCCTCCAGGATTTCCAAAGTACCTCAGTTGGGAACTACTGGCTTATATTAGTCAAGATTCATCCTTCAGATCAGGGAAAAGAGCCAGGCATCCCCCGAACTTATGGGTTCTATTAGAAAGGAGGGAGAAGAGCTGCTTGGGTAGGTACCCATATCTGCTTTCTCAAGCTGCTCCATGGGTAGGAGTGAACGCACTGTATTTCAGGTACCTACCAAGAAAGCTGATAGTGCAAAATAGTCTTGAAAGGTATATTAGGATTCCCCAGAGATACAGAACCAATAGGCATATATAGAATGAGATTTACTGTAAGGAATTGGCTCACACAGTAATGGAGGCTGAGAAGTCCCACAATCTGCTACCTAAGCTGGAGACCCAGGAAAGTCAGTGGTGTAAAATTCCAGTCACCAGAAACACCAGTGGTGGTAAGTCGCAGTCCAAGGTTAGGAAAAGATGGATGTCTCAGCTTAAGCAGGCAGAGAGAATTTCAAACTGGTTTTTTTTGTTTGTTTGTTTCTTTTTCTATTTGGATCCTTAACTGATTAGATGATGCCCACCAACATAAAAGAGCAATCTGCTTTACTCAAATTCAGTGCTAATTTCTGTAGGCAGACCCAAATATAATATTTAAACAGTTATCTGGCTACTTACAGCTCAACAAACTGACATAAAATTATCACATAAGGCAAAAAAAATGTTTTGGTTTTATTCTTCAGTAGAGTCTCCCTTTTGTGGTTGATGATAAGTGCTTGATTAGGTCCCAAAAGTAACTTCTGATTTCCCTCTTACTCCAACCTCCATTTCTTAAATGGTCTTTCCAATTTCAAAGTAAATGTGCTGCTATGGTTGCTCAAGCCCAAGAAATCCTACAGTCGGTAAATCTTAGCAACTTTGAAAGTACATCTAGAATCACCATCTCCACTACTCTTAGTATAAATTACCACTTGGGTTATTCCAAGTTTTAATTGGTCTTCCCACTTAACACCCTTGCTTGATCTTTTACCACAGCAGTCAGATTGTCACTCCTGCTCAGCGCTCATCCCAAGGCCTACAGGCTTCATGTGATCTCGCCCCTAGCCCCTTATTAACTCTTTTCCCCTTTTCTCCCAATTTCATCTTTTGGCCTTTGCCCTTGGTTCAACAGTCTCCCACCTCCCCTATATTTCTACTTAGCTCACCCCTCATTTTTTTCATAGGATTATGAAATGTCGTAAAATAGTAGCCCCTTCTTAAGTCCCTGTCATTTCCAAATTTTACCTTACTCTTTTTTTTCATAGCATTTGTTATCACTTAATTTGTCCTTCTCCAACTAAAATATGAGCTCCAATGGGCCAGAAACTATTCATTGCTATTTCCCAGCACCTAGAATAATGCCTACTACATAAAAAACTCAATTTTTTTGTTAGATCTACAGTTCAAAATCTGGGTGGTTTGGTTTCTCCATTTTACAGATTAAAGTCCCTTGTTTTTTAAGATTGTGTATGAATTATACTCTCATCTGTCAGAGTACTGGGGGCAATTTACTAAACCCCAAAACTAAGTTAATTGGTAAGTTCTAAATTAGAAAAAGAATCCGAAGAGAAATTGATAGGGCTGGCCAGTTAGCTCAGTGTGGTGCTGATATCAAGGTCAAGGGTTTGATCCTGCACTAGCTGGCCAGCTGCCAAAAAAATAAAATTGATAAGACTAAAAATTGCCAGAGGGCCGGCCTGGTGGCGCACTCACTAGAGTGCGGTGCTTGGGAGCGCCAAGGGTTCGGATCCCATGTAGAGACCGGTCCGCTCACTGGTTGAGTGCGGTGCGGGCGTGACACCGAGGGTTGCGATCCCGTTACCGGTCACGAAAAAAGACAAAAAGGAAAAAAAAAATGTTGCCAGAGGTTTTCTTGGGCCAGCAAAGGGAAGTGGAGTGACCAGAATAAATCACAATCCTATCTTTTATTTTTACTTTTTTGGCAGCTGGCCATTAACAGGGATTGAACCCTGGACCATGGTGTTATCAGCAGCACACTCTAAGCAACTGAGCTAACCAGCCACCCCACCTCAATTCTGTTTCTTTTATACTTCCTAGGTATGGAGTCCAGTTCCACTGCAGACTTACTCTGTATTCAGATTGTTTTTCTTCAACTTTGTGAAACTTTCAAAACTATTTTTAGAAAAGCTGTAAGAATAGCATAATATATATATACATACACACTTTAAGTGCAGATTCACCAATTAACATTTTGCCATTGGTTGCACACTCATGAATGCACATGCACTCTTTCTCTGTGTTATGGAGAGTCCAAATGGGTGAACTTCAGGCAGTACATAAGGCAGTGATTATAAAATGCAAGACAGTATTATTTTCTAGGCAAATAGTCCATTTGAGTAAAATTATTTCTGGAGTGTTTCAAAATAATCTAAGGGAAGGTGGGAAAAAGTAAAAAGGAGATAAGTTTCACTGGTTTCTTGACAGTCTGTGACCTAAAAAGTGTTAAGAATTAGATTTTCTACATGGGAAATCAGTCTACCTTACTAACCTAACTGGCTTAAATTCAAGTTGTGTTCTCCTAGTCCCTGCACCCCCCTCACCATTTGTCATCCCCTCAATCCTGTCTATGCATTTCTTAAGCATCCTTGGTCTACCCACCTCTATGAAGCCTTCCCCACTCAGCCCACACTGATCGTTTCACTCAAATTCTTATACCCTTATTTTTCAACTTCTTGGGCGACTGGCTGGTATGGGGATCCAAACCCTTGACCTTGGTGTTACAACACCACTCTCTAACCAACTGAGCTAACAGGCCACCCCCTCAACTTCTTAATATTCGATTCAGCAACTTACCTCCTTTTTATTTTTGCCCACCTTCCCTTGGATTATTCTGAAACATTCCAGAAATAATTTTACCAAAATATTTCAATATTTACCTGTGAAAGATTATACAAAACATAGCATCATTATCACCTAAGAAAAATTAACACCTCCTTAAGAGCAAATACTGTGTTCAGCTTTTCCCAATAGTTTCATAAACTTCTGAAGTTGATTTGAGTCAGGAACCAAGTAAGGATCACACCAGCATTGGTTGATATCCCCAAAGTCTCTCTGCCTATTTTTTTCTCCTTTGCAATTTACTTGAGGAAGCTGGACCATGGACTCCTACATTCTAGATTTTGCCGACTACATCCCTTTGATGTCATTTAATGTGTTCTGTCCCTGCTCCATTTGGTTGAAGTTCAGTTTTCTTTAATAATAGGTGGTGTAGGGCCGGCCTGGTGGCGCACCGCTACAGTGCACCACTTGGGAAGCGCGGTGGCGCTCCCGCCGAGGGTTTGGATCCCACATACAGACCGGCCGCTCACTGGCTGAGCGAGGAGCGGGGACAACACCGAGGGTTGCGGTCCTGTAGCCGGTCCAGGTCCGGGCGCTACACTGAGGGTTGCGATCCGTTGCTGGTCACGAAAAAAGACAAAAAGAAAAAATAATAATAATAATAATAATAATAGGTGGTGTATACTTCCATCAGAAGGTGCATAATTCTGGTTGGCTCTTATGTCGTATTAGCAGCCTCTGATGATCATTGCCTAGATCTCTAATTTCATACTATTCTACTTCTATCTTTTCTAATTTGTTTCTTAATTAGAATACCTCTATAGCAAGAAACTCCTTCTCAACAAGTACCAAGTTGCCATGAGGTACAGTTCCTATATATAGGAAAGTCTGGTTAAAAATGCTCAATTCTGGGCTGGCCCATGGCTTACTCAGGAAAGTGTGGTGCTGGTAACACAAGGCCATGGGTTTGGATCCCTATATAGGAATGGCTGGTTAGCTTAATCGGGAGAGCATGGTGCTGACAACACCAAGTCAAGGGTTAAGATCCCTTTACTGGTCATCTTTAAAAAAAAAAAAAAAAAAAAAAGCTCAACTCTTTGGCCAGCCGCCAAGGAAAAAACCCTCAAATATTTATTTTCCTTTATTTACTAGTTTTTAGAATGAGTTTTTTTTTTTTTTTTTTTTTTTTTTT